ATCAAAATGTCGAGGACCAAAGGTCACCAATGTCGGAGATAACCGAGTCCAGATGTAACCGGTGTCCAACTGTGATGCAGCCGAGTATCAACCTCAACAATCTCCAAGTCTCCAATCAGGTAAGTACCACAGTCTCGCATCACCGAAGTCCAACTCTGATATCTGTCCAACTGGATAGTCTCCAATCTGAAGAAGAAGGAGAAGAAGAAGAAGAAGAAGGAGGAAGAGGAGAGAGAGAGAGAGGGGACTGGCGAGGGAGAGGAGGAGAGACCCTCCAAGCTCCCGGTACCTCAGGCGGCAATGGCCGCCGTGCTGGCTCAGTCGCCCTGCTGCTGCTCCACTCGCTGCTGCGCTAAGCTGCGCTATGCCGCGCTCCTGCTTCAGCCCCTGCGCTAAGTTTAGCACATCAAAACAGTACGCTGGTACTGACCATGCCGTGCCGGTAGAGTTCCGGTAGGCCGATGCCTCAACTGAGGCGGGTACCGGTACTTATACCGGTAGGCAATGCTCTGGCCTCAATGCTGCGAGGCGAGGCCAGACCCTGGACCGTCCAGATGGACGGTTCAGCCTCAATCGGCGGGCGGCAGCTTCAAGAGCGCCGCCAGGCCCAAACGAAGTGTCGTTTGGGCCTACCCGATGGGTGCTGGTCCAAAATCAGGCCTTTAGGGCCTGTAACCCCAAAAGGTCGGGCCTTTAGGCCCTGTTGTGTCCCTCCGGCCCTAAGTCGGGTCCGGTAGGACCCGTGTGAGTCGAAGATGTAACATCGGTGGTACAAGCACGGATGTCGATCGTTGTTCGGGACATGGTGCATGTCGAGCCTGAGAGTAAACTGGCGCCACCACGGGATCGGTTCCGTCTTGGACTGATCGCAGAAGACGGGAATGTCATCCAGCTTGGGTGGGCGCCGGGAGGATGCGGCGGCGGGCGTCACGGTGGCAGCAGCCTGGACCTCCGTCTCCAACTGCAAGTTCATTGCTTGCTGCGACGTCCGGAAGTCCTGATGCACACACTTGATGTTGCTGACGTCATCCTCCAAAACTTGCACATGGGTGGTAAGGGTGGAAGGCCCTGCGGCTGCTACAGCAGCTGGCTGTTTCTCCAACGCCTGCAGCCGTGCGAGCATCTGGTCCACTGTCTGCTGCAGGTGAAGGATTTCCTCCTGCTGCAGAGCGCAGGTGCCCACGAGGTCGTGGGAGACCTGCGCAAGGGCTGACAGCCCTTTCTCAGTCTCCGGGGCCCCGTCTGCAGATGTCACTTCCACCCAATGTGCGGCCTCATCGCCGAACACGGTCTCCCGCGTGAACAGTCGTTCCCGCTGGCGTGACCGGTGTTCAGCTGCCGCCTGCAGGTCTGCCTCTTCTTGACGAAGTCGGTCCTGTTCCTCCTTCTGTCGCTTGGCCTCCTCCTCTTGTTCGAGCCGATTACGTTCCTTGGCCGCGGCGGCGGCCCTATCGTTGGCCTCCTGAATGAATGCCGCCAGGCGTTCCTCATAGGCCAGGAGGGATTCTTCCGCCTTCCGGTCCATGGCCTTGGTCTGTGATCGAGTGAGCAGTGTCATGCACTGMTGTGCCCGMAGTCWGAAGAGTCACCCGAGGGCCAATCTGATGGACTGGCCCAGTACCCGGACTGGAGGGGGAGGAATAGGTAGGAAGTAGACAAGTGGGAAGGATCGGACAGAGCCCAATTTGAACAGTTTCCTAATCAAAAAGAAGAAGAACAGAACTTTAAAATTCGGAAAAAGTCTGTCCAATCCCACTGATTACCGAAGGTGATGCAGAAAGCAAATGTGAACCTTCGGTGCTCAGACTGCAGAGAATCAGAAAAGAAGGGTCTTTATAACTCAGTAGGAGTAGGTTGCAAACAGAAAAAAAATGCCGTTTTTTTTTTTTGAAAAAAAAGAACGGAATCTGCAGACCTACGCAGTGAAAGTGTAGAGCGACAGTTTCGGAAAAAGAATCGCGAAATTATCAAAATGCAGACATTTAACAATTAAACAAGGTAAAAAAAAAAAATTCTCGGAAAAAGAATTCTCGGAACGGAAAAAATTCGTGGAAACCAAATTTCTCGGAAAAATAATTTTTCGGAAAAGAATAAGAATTTCTTGAAAAAAAAAAATCTCGGAAAAAGAAATAATTTCTCGGAAAAAGAAATAATTTCTCGGAAAAAAAAAAATTCTTGGAAAAAGAAATTATTTCTCGGAAAAAAAAAAATTCTTGGAAAAAGAAATAATTTCTCGGAAAAAATAAATAAATAATTAATTCCGGGAAATTTCCAAGATTAAATAACACAATTGCCAAATGATCAATCAACTTAATTAATCAATCAATCAATCAATCAATCAGTCAGTCTCAGATGATTGCTGGTTGATTGATCGATTGTTCGATCAATCTCCTGATTGACTGATCAAT